GAAATGTCGTTCCGCATCCCTTAACCATAATAGCCTCCCAACTGTGAACCAGGAATACTACTAATGAATAAATTAAGATTGAACATGTAGTTCGTGTACACCGATAGCATGCTGTATATAAACAACCATAACCAAAGATTTAAAAACATTCGTCGTTATATAATTACATAGTTACTAAATTTTAAATGTAAATAAAAATTAACTGTATAAGTACTGTTTTACTATAGCTATATATCGAACTTTAGAATTTATATTAATATACTAAGGTTGAGATAATATGATAAAAAAAAGGTCGTTAATTAATCTCTGTTGGGAACCTGCTCAAGAGTTCATAACTAAATTTCTAATTACTATTTCAAACTGACAAACGAAAACATTGAAAGTCGAATAATGCAATCAACGATGCATTATTCGACTTTCAATGTCATCATCTGATGATCCATTCAAACATAGAAACGAGTAAAACATAAGGAAATGGAATTATGTTAGCTTATTATATTTTGAATGTTTTTTTAAATATCTTGGATGCTAAATAATAATTTTAAAAATGCTTAATTTACATCCTTAATATTTAAAAAAAANATTTATTTATCTTTAAGTAGATAAAAAGAATTTAAAGTGAAAATTTTTCAAGAAATAATTGTTTCAATTAAATTCTTTATAAAAATTTTGTATTTTAAAAATAAAGAATGATTTTGATTAGAGGTAAAGAAACTGCGGCCTTCTACGGCTTCCAGTGCAGCCTGACAAAATGTAAAATAGTTTAACACAGAAACAAGTTTTTGGGCATCTGTTTTTCTTCACATTTCAGATAAATTAACTTAAATATATTTTATTACTTTTTAAAAATAAAAATATATAATTATTATATAAATATATATAATGCGTGTGTGTATATCGTGCATGTTTACTGAATATATAAAGTTATGCAACCTTCAATACACGTGGCCTTATCTGGTACTTCTGAAATGGGATGTGGCCTCTCGATTAAAAAAGGTTCCCCACCTCTGATCTCAACGAAATAATATTTTGTAATAACGTAGGCCTATTCTACACTACTTATTTAACTAGGCAAGCAATATAAATTTTTAAGTTATTCGCATCTAAAAATTACAAAATAAGATTTTGATAAAATAACAATTAAAAAAATGTATTTACTCTTAAGTATAATGGCTTATTTATAACTGAAATATTATAACCGTTCAAGCGTCAAGTTAAGCAAAGCGATAACAATTTTCGAAAGAATCAATTTACAGTTTTTTTTAACATTCACTTCCCTTGTGCTTTTTTTTTTTTTATTCGTATAGGCTTTTCTTGGCATCAAGGACGACTGCAGGAAATATTTTCGAGAAATCTTGTTAAATTTTCAGTCGAAGTAAAGATTTAATTTAAGAATAATAAGAAATTTGATACGTGCATCTAAAGAATTTCAAAATATAATTTATCTATCGTAATAATTAATGGGTTTTAATATGGGTTTAATATCATGTTTCTATTAATATTTAAGTTTATCAAAATATCAGAAACATAAATACTTTATAGATATAACCGAATTATGATTTTATATCATTATAACATTTAGACATATGAAATTTTATTATATAGTTATTATTTCAACTTATTACAACTCAAATTTACCTGACAATAAGAAAATAAATATTAAATTATACTTGAAATGTAGTAATTACTGCATTACTTACAAGATTTATATAACATTCACTGCTTCATTTCACTCGTTTATGAATTATTACCATTGTAATTATTAATTATTTTAAAACTTCACTTTTAAGTATTTTAAAGTATTTTAAAAAGTTTTGGATACAAGAAAATAAATATTAAATTCTACTTGAAATATAATAATTGCTNGAAATATTATAACCGTTCAAGCGTCAAGTTAAGCAAAGCGATAACAATTTTCGAAAGAATCAATTTACAGTTTTTTTTAACATTCACTTCCCTTATGCTTTTTTTTTTATTCGTATAGGCTTTTCTTGGCATCAAGGACGACTGCAGGAAATATTTTCGAGAAATCTTGTTAAATTTTCAGTCGAAGTAAAGATTTAATTTAAGAATAATAAGAAATTTGATACGTGCATCTAAAGAATTTCAAAATATAATTTATCTATCGTAATAATTAATGGGTTTTAATATGGGTTTAATATCATGTTTCTATTAATATTTAAGTTTATCAAAATATCAGAAACATAAATACTTTATAGATATAACCGAATTATGATTTTATATCATTATAACATTTAGACATATGAAATTTTATTATATAGTTATTATTTCAACTTATTACAACTCAAATTTACCTGACAATAAGAAAATAAATATTAAATTAACTTCTCTATTTTATATCTTAATAACTAATATTTATCTATTATAAAACAAATGAATTAAACGAACTTATTGATTGAAAGATTTTTAATGGATTAAAAATTTGAAAGTAAATTGTTAGATTTATTATATTTATAAATACAGTCAACAGAAAGTGTTTATTCTTAGTTTATCTTTAAAATTTTTTTAATAAACTTTTATATAATTTCGATCTTAATTTGAACAGTTTCATTTTTATAATAAAAAAAAGCTTATTAAATGCATCTGCTGATGTAAATTTTTCATACATGTATTTAAAAAAAATCCAGCAACGAGTTGCTCAAGTTTTCCGGCAACGTTTGGTAGCGCCATCTGTTATCATATTTTATTTTAAAAAAAATTTAAATTTCTATTATAAAATGGCAAAAGCTTAATTTTGAGGGTAAGGATGGGTTTTATAAAAAAAATGCAAATGCTAATAACGAGTAAAATTGTCATTAAGTCCGACCTACTGGAGATACACACAACCCCCAATATCTCCCCACCCCTTGACCTTTAACCACCAAAATTTAATAGCATCAAACCTCTAATAAACAAACCTTTCTGCAAAATTTCAGAAATTTTTGACAAAAAGCACAGGAGTTGTTAGTTTTCAGTGTGAACAAAATAGTGTTCCCACACACACTAACATCCGTACATACAGAAAAAAAACCCGAATTTTTTGCATTTCTCGACGTTTCAAGGTGCCAGAGTTCAAAAATGTAAAATCTTGGGGTAATTTTTTGACCGATCGCCATACTTTCCTCTGTTATATACAACAGCCGGGAAAGTAAAAATAACAGTAACAAATCTATATCTTGCAAATCAACTGATTCAATGTTAAAATGTATGTACTGTATACGTTAAAAATATATATATCTTGAAAAATCATTAATGTTAAAGAAAAAAGTTACTTAAACCCTATTACAATGTGCATATTTATTGCAACTAAAACAAATTATATTTTAAATTTTAAATTATTATAGATCTTGGCTTTTATAAATAGAATAGTCATTTTATTGTTTCGAAATTATGACTTGTCTCTAGTAATTATTTAAATATTTTTTTCTTCGTTTCGAAGATATTTCATTTGTAACTCAGTTAAAAATTTTAACTTTTAAAAGTTTAACTTAAAATTACTTTTTTTTGCCTATATTCAGATTTCTCTACATTTACATAATCCAAAAGACAAAGATAAAAAGGATTTAAATATTATTTTACGAGAGTTTTATATATCTCCTATTTCAAAGTAATGTGTTAAGGGAGATGAATTATATCTTAAGTAACAATATTTAATAAACTTATTAATTTCTGTTTACAGATACGTTTAATTTCACTAAAAGTATTTGCTTTTTCTGATTATCCTAATGCAAGTTGCTTTTGTCATATTATATAATTCCGGATATTTTAAAAGATTTATTTGTATTGTTTTTATTAGTTTTTAAACGTTTGGATTCAGTTGTTTAGTAACACGGAGCCAGGTCGTATAATTATAGACGCTATCGCAAACAAATGAAAAAATAAATAAAAGTACTGTACATTTCGTAAGATCATTAAAAAAGCCTTACAGAAGACGTAACAATTACTAATTTTTAAACGGATCAAAGTTAAAAATAAATGTTTCATTGTTTGGCAATTTGGCTGATAAAATTTTAATTTGAATTGCGTTTAAATTAATACAGAATAATTTTTACGCAATAAAAGTAAATTACTTATTTACTTTTTACCTGCTTCTTTCGAATCAATTCATTGAATTCTTTCAATAAAAAATAAAGTTACGTTTACTGTTAATTCAATTATACTTTTTTCTAATATATTCTCCCACGTTTTATCTTTACATAGGATATTGTTTACGATTTAAAATCTGAAAATATTTAAATTTGTACCACTATCTTTATTATTATTGTATTTTGTTGGTTTTTTTAAATAACTTAGGTTTAAAGAAAGATTTCTTCGAGAATTTTAATAAGTGTTTTTTCAGTTGTATTTCAATTTTGTTTTTTAATTCAATGAATTGCATTCACTAAATCAAGAGTTTGGATTAATTTTTATTAATTGACTAATTAAATTTTTCAAAATAAATTTTAAATATTTATATTTATAGGATTAATAAGTTTATATAACAATCTCATAAAGCAGAAGAAACAAAATTCAGTAAAAATGATAAATTAAGTAGCCTATGTAAACAATATTTTGCTAAAAAAAAGAGGGGAACGAAATGTTTAAAAAGGAATTAATGGAAATATAATTGAAATCAATAAATAAATCGGTGAAGGAATAAAAATGAAATTACTTTCATCTATTTTTATTTCTCTAATTAATCATTGTTTTATTTATAGCTACAACTTAGTGTTTTTTGAATTTCCCAGTATCCAAATCCCTGCTATAACGAATGATGTTCTTTATTATCCATTTACTATCAGGATTGAATAATCCTGGTATTAAAAATTTATTTGAAGCGTCACGTTTTTGTTTCTTTCATTGAAATTGTCTGTGTTTTAAGTTTAGTGATTTTTATCATAAAATTTCCTTACAATCTTACGAGCTAATTCCCAACAATTCTGTAAAATAATTTAGATTCACTGTAGGTAGTTTCACTTTTTATAGAAATCAATCTAATTATTTTTAAATTTTTTTTCCAGCTATTTTCAGGATTTTCAATTATGCTCCTATGCACCTAAAGTACGAATATGCCATCCAAGAAGTGACGGAATAAGTAGTCTTGAGCATTTACTTGATAAAGTAATTCTGAGATTTTCGGTGTGGACTATGGCATCGGTAGCATGCATCGGAAATTTCTTTGTGCTAATGAGTCGGGTTCTTTTGAAAGAGCCCAATGAAATCCATTCGTTTTTTATCAAGAATTTATCGTTGGCTGACTTATTAATGAGTATCTACTTATTTATCATTGCAAGTCAGGATGTTATCTTCAGAGGAAAATATATGCTATACCAACCTCAATGGAAAAAAAGTTGGTTGTGCCGATTTTCTGGTTTTCTTAGCACTTTAAGCAGTGAAGCTTCAGTTTTAGTGCTTGCAGTAATCACTCTCGATCGGTATGTGTCTATATGCTATCCCCTTTCCGTACAAAGAAGAAACTGGACAATTGCTCTGCTTTATATGGTTTTAGTATGGTCTACAGCAGTTCTATTAGCAGCTATACCACTTTCTGAAGTTGCATATTTCGGTGAAAATTTCTACAGTAATAATGGTATGTGCCTACCAATTAATATTCATCGTCCGTATGCCGATGGTTGGGAATATTCCACATTTATATTTTGTGGAATTAACATGATTGCGTTTATAATAATTGTGTATGCCTATATTAGCATGTTCTTCAGCATTTCTCGCTCAAAAAGCGGACTTCGATCGACTCAACAACAACAAGATAGAGCGATTGTGAAAAGATTTGCTTTCATCATAGGAACAGACTTTATTTGTTGGGTTCCTATAATAATCATTAAATTGATTTCATTTACAGGTAAGATTTATTCATTCNTGATGATTAAATAGATTTTTATTTTAAAAAAGATTGATTGCCCTTGAAAATTTAGCAACATTTTAGTTATAGTCTGTGTTGCTAGATAGTTTTTATATTGCGTAATTATAAGTATATATTTAATTTTAAATAGAGATCTAAATTACATAAAACTATTCTAATTGCCAACTCGATTTCACTCTTTGAAGCTACAACATAAGTTAATACAAAAATTTAACTTGATCAGAACAATTCTTTTAAAGTTATAAATATGTTCAATAAAGAACATTTAACTTAAATTCCAAATTTTAGAAATTAAAATAGAAAACTGCAAAACTTAAATATTTAATTATAGGCCTATAATAAACTAAAAAATGTTTATATGAAAGTTTTTCAACTCATGATTTGTTGATAAAATTTAAAAAGCCTCATTTGTACCTGCATTAGTTATGGAATGATAGATGTAAACATTTTATTTAAATTAGATTTGTATTTTAAAATTTTAGATCAAGTTTTTGCTAATCGTAAATCTAGTATTTTTAAGTAGTTACGATTTTGAATTAGGGGAGACCGGGGCAACTTCGGCATGCGGGGCAAGTTTGTCAAGCGCTTTTTTTTAAAATCAAATTAAAAGGAGACTTTGGTTATAGGTTAAGCAGTTGAGTTTTATTGGTGAAATATATACACTTAACGTATTTGAACTATTATTACAAAGATACAGTTAGTCTATACCAGGGGTCTTCAACCTTCTAAAGCCTTTGGAACCCTTCTAGTTTATAATATTCTTCAAGGAACCATATATTTAGGTAAAAATTTAAGAGTAAACTTGAGTATATAACCAAATTTAAAAATTTGGTTATATACTCAAATTCCACCTGAACATTCTTTTATATATCACGAAAAACCGTAGGGGTAGACTACCCCGGAAAAATGTAGTCGCAGACCATTCTTTGAGAAACAATGAACAATGATTTTAGGAAGGAATGCTAGTTTGGGGTGGATCTTCAAGGTGTGAGGTAAGGGTAACTCAGAGGAAATCATCTTTTATATTTATTATATAAAAAATAATAATAAATTTGTTTTAAATATTTCATTAATTATAAAAAAATAAAAATAAAATATATTATTCTTAGACCAAACTAAATACTATCCATTATATTATTGTCGACTTAAGACTTATCATATTATTAGGGCAATTATATTGGCAATTATACTTTTTTTTATTTTTCACCTATTGTTTACCCTGCAGGGAAAAGGTTTCCGATTGTCCAACTTTACATGAACAAATTATGTTGTCAATTTTACAAGATTTTTCCTTAAAGTTTAAAATGTCAGTAGTTTTTTGCGAGACAATGTGTGCATTTGCGTTTATTTGATATTTTATTTGTGATTAAACGAAATAAAATTAGAATTGTATTAATAAATCTAATTTTCCTTATTTTGATCTTTAAAGTCACACCTCGCCCTATTTGCGAGATCGTCTTACTTATACTAGAGTAAATACGGTAAATATATTTTGAGAAAAATATTATATGACAGAAATTCGGGATAGGATAGGAGCTTGAAAGTCGTAAAACGCAAAGATTTTTACATTAAGCACGGAGCCGTCAAGAGAGAACTGGGGATTTTTCCTCGAGTCCGGAGAAAACTTAGGGGCTCGGGTCCACGAAAAGCTCATGCTAAATTTTGCTGGTTCCTAAGCATAGTACCATACGTATATGGTTAATTCAATTTCAGAATATGTAGTTTATATATAGTTTATAAGTAAACTATAAAAAAACATGCAATTTTTCTTAAATATCAATATAAGTTGTAAAATAAGTTATTTGTAGGTATTTACTGAAGTTGTTTAGTCACGTTCCTGAGTTTTAGTTAATATAAGACTTAATTTTTATTAAAATTTTTAAATTTTAATTAAAATTTAAAAGATTAATGAAAGTAATATAAATACTTTCTATATAAAAACTATCTTTCTATTCTTATAACATAGTTTTCTTATGAATAACGTTTAAGTTGTGCAGTATTGTACATCTAATCTTTCAAACAGCTTATTAACATTCTGCGAGATCACACTTTTTTAATGTGCAATTTCAGAATGACAGATTAGTAACTTCAATCAATAAAAGAAAAAAAACGTAATGTAAAAAACTAAGACAAAAGATCTGTTTGTAATTGATATTATCATAGTTAGATTTCGTTAGTTTTTAGCGCCAAGATGAATGCTTTTAATCAAAAAGTTTAAAGAATTCTACAGCGTTGAAATAATTGCTATATATATANTTATTTTTTCCAGGAAGAAGAATTCATATTTATTATTGAACAAAAAAATTCCCAAGTTGAACTTAGACGAGAGTGACGTATATCCGGTATGTCTAACTGTCGCCTTTTTATAGCGTCAACATCGGACTCGATAATCAATTAGTGCTTACTGAACCGTAACACTATGCAAATGTCATGTGGTTTATCAACCTTCTTGGCCCCCGAAATGTTTGGTGAAGAAAATATGGCCCGCGGGCTATGATAAGTTGGACAGCGCTGCTGTATATTATTATGTACAGTATTTTCAATTTCGTGTACATTTTGTCAGAAAATTTTACCATACGAATATTCGAAATATATTTTTAACTTTTTAAGCTAGTAAGTGATCCCGATGTAAACACATATTTATCTTGTTTTTAATTTTTTTTATTGAAGTAAATTATTATAGTTTATTGCTAATCTTCTTTCCTAAAAAAATTGAATTTCAGTTATTTTGTTTTTTCCTACAAGAGTCGAAAAAATTAAATTACTTTTATTTAATTGATGTTATTATTACAATTAGCAGTAATTAACTGTAATGGAAAGAAGTGTCCAGTTTTAATTGTCTGTTCATTAATAGACTGCTGATTAAATAATAATAATAATTTTAATTGTTGAACAAATCTTTAATCTGTTAACTTGTCATTCTATTAGAGTTAATCTAAATGTAATTAACTTTAATTAATACGTTTTAATTGAACTTAAAATTTGTTACTTAACAGTTTAAATTTGCATGTTATAAAATTTCATCTCTCTCGATATTCATATTTTATATTTTTACGTACAAACTTACATCAATGTAAAAAATAACAATTGTTTGCTGATTAATTTACAGTAAAAAGAATAAATTAAGTATAATTTTCTATAAATGTAATTAAAACTAATTATAATTTCACAGAGAAATGTAATCTGTAGAAATAAATCATGAAACTTTAAATGTTGTTTTGTCTCGTTTTATAAATAAAAGATTTATACCTTCTATAAAGAACAAAATACTTGTTTATTATCTGTTTGATTTATATCCAAGAGTCTAGTTAAAATTTTTTTTCCTAAATGATATTACGATTTAAAAACTTTTCAGGTTAAAATTGTTTTACTACAACACTATTTAAATAGGGTTGTAGTAAATGCTCACTGTAGTTAACGCTCACTTTTCAGTGTTGTTTCTTAAGGAACAACACTGAAAAGTGTTCCTCACTATTTATGTCTTCCTTAAGGAACAACACATAAATAGTGAACGTTATGTTGAATTGAAATAGTGAATTTTCCCGAAAATAGAAGTCATTTCAACTTTTAATATTAAATTATTAATATATGACATTTTTTAATGGATTCGGAACAAATTTCAATTACGTGTAGTATAAATTTTATCAAAATACATGTCACGCATTGTAAATTTTTTCACTCCTCAATTTCTCTCTTCTTGTAAAGTTGTAATTATTTTAATTATTTTTATTTCCAAACTGATTTTAACCAGTTCTATAGTAAAGTAACATTCCAATAGACAATATGCAAAGTTTTTTTTTCAGTTTACAGCAGTATTTATTACACAAAATTTAAGTAAAGCTTAACATGCCGATCTTGCCCCGGTCTCCCCTAAATTGTAAAATAAATCGACTAAAATTAGCATAAATACAAGGTCTGTCTTAAAAGTAAGTGTAGTGATTTTTTATTTCAAAGTATACAAGAGTTATGTCAAACTACAAACGATCTCCTTCAAAGTACAACTCTTGCGAGGTTACAGAGTGGTTCCAAAGTTTTTCTCCACTGGTTGTAGCAGTACTTGAAGTCGTTTTCCGTAATGGTGCTTAGTTAGTCGGTTACAACTTTTTCACTGTCCCGAAATGATGGCCTTTCAACTCGGATTTTATCTTAGGAAATAGGTAGAAGTCACACAGAGCTAGGTCCGGGTTGTGGGGAGGTGGGGAGTGTGGGGATTATTTTCTTGGCCAAAAACTCTCGAATTGATGGTGCTGTGTGAGCAGGCGCATTATCACGGTGCAGCGTCCAATCTTCTGCAATGTCCCTGCGGACTTGCTTGACCCGTTTTCGAAGTCGTTCCAAATCTTTGTAGAAGAATTGTGCACAAAGAATTTTTACCTTCAGGACAGACAGATCTTCAATCTGTCTGTCCTGAAGGTAAAAATTCTTTGTGCACAATTCCACAGCTATCGAAAATAATGATAAGCATCGTCTTTACTCTGGGTCTTTCTGCCATCAAAACACCATGTTTTTCGATAAAATGGCATCTCCATAAACTTCGGTTAAATCTGCAAATGTCTCGGTTGCAGATTTCTTGCGTTTCACACAAAACTTGATAGCGTAACGTTGTTCGAGATTTTTGTCCATTTCAAATGTAACGATGTGTTAAAACACTATCTTAAACAAACAGAGATGGTGCATGTTTGACTTAACCGATCATCTTGAAACAGATCTAGACATGCTGTTAAGATATCTATCAATATGAAAATACCAATTAATGATGTGTTAAGTTGTACAGTCATTAAATAAAAAATCACACTTACTTTTGGGACAAACCTTGTATGAAAAAATGCATATATTGTATAAACCAATATGTTAAGATCTATAGAAAATAACTTTTGTTTCGAATAGCAATTAGCCTACTATAAACTGTATTAAATCAAAGAGCGTTAAACCTGCGAAATATATCTTGTACTGCAATTTATGTAGTTCACAAACTTCAATAAGCTATATTTTATTATAAAATATATTTTAATTTGATTACAAAATTTTATTTGTAATAATTCAGCATTTATTCATCAAAACATGCTAGCAAATATTTTAATAATTCTTACTTTTAAAAATTATTACTAATTTAATTTGTAATATTAATATTTAATATTACAAAGTTTGCAGTATAATTAACAAATATTTCATAAAATCAAATGGTCTGATTTAAATGGTTTTACTGAAGTACTAGAATTCGGATTCAACATGGATCCTCAGGATTTTTCGTTTACTCGTAAATAGTCTTATGAGAAATTAAATTATGGTTATAAACCAACAGGGATATTCAAATTATACTTTTTCAGCAGCCTAAAATCGGAAGAGTAACTAAAAATTTATATGATAGAAAATAATACGTCAATTTTATTTACAAATGGTATGGAAATTAATCATTTTCATTCCACTATTTCTTACACAGAATATTCTATTAATGACAAAAAATACATTTACTCATGCGGAAAACGTTAAAAAAATTCAATATATTACTTTTAAAATGAATAAAATGTATTTTAAACTTCTAAAATATGTGTGAAAGTAATTAAAATTGATATAAATATATACTGTATGTAATATTTTGTTTTAACAAGTTAATAATTAAATTTTATTATCAATTTGTTAAATTAAACTGTTAAATAAATAAATTTTGTTTAAGTTATAAAATAAAAATGTTAAATACAGGTAACCCCCGTATAACACGGCACTTCTATAGCACGGATTCGCTCTAACACGGTTCGAGAATTGGTACCATCCCCCGTATAACACGGTACTTTTATAGCACGGATTCACTCTGACACGGTTCGAGAATTGGGTAAAACCCTCGTACAACAGGAAATGTAATAAATTTTTACATACTTAAGTAATAATAGTTCACGAAAATTATTATTTTCGTGAACTATTAGTACTTAAGTATGTAAATTTTCTCTTCTCGCCTTCTGTCGATACACGTGGTCCTTCTCGAAACTTGTTTCAATGTTGCCAGATCGCGACGCTTCTGCTTCTGATGTTGCCGAATGTTTTTCCCTTATTCCATACTTGCTTTATTCTTCATAAGTGCTTAGCACCATATAAGGAAATTTATAAAGACCTTTTAACTAGAAGCAAGCAATCTAAAATTACATACATTTTGCAAAAGGTAAAGCATGGATCTGAAGATAATGCAGAAAAATGCTCAGAGGATAAGGATAACTTGCCAAAAAGAAAACGCTCTCGGTTAATTAATAGTGTTTTTAGTGATGACGAAGAAAACATTGTTTAATTTATATTAATATGTATCACTTAAAAAAATTTTAATGAAGATATTTATCTTAATTATGAAAATATACTAGCATGTTTTTTAATTTTTGGAACCTAACCCTCCTTTTCGTATTAGTTCTTTGTTTCGTATAACACGGATTCGCATAACACGGCAATTTTTTGGAACGTAACTACCGTGTTATACGGGGGTTACCTGTAATTGAATACCACAATGATAAAATTAATTTATTTATTAATGGTATTTATACATTACCTATCGTTTCAGATGTTCCAATTCCTACAGATCTTTATGCATGGATAGCAGTTTTCTTTTTGCCTGTTAATTCTGCACTGAATCCGATTCTTTATACGTTAACAACAAAATTGTTCAGGCAAAGAATGGCTAAAATGGTTCGAGGATACCGTCCATCAAGCGAATTATCTGGAATTTCCTTATCTTCATTTTTCCATCACAGAAGTTCTAAAAAAACATATATTACTACGATGTCCGATGTAAGGATATTTTATATAAATTTATATTCGAACAATGCTGATTAACAATTAACGAATTAAAATTCAATATTGGTAATTACAGAACGATCAAAGTTTTACAAGTAAATCATCTCAGTTAAGCAGAAAAACGAGTCCGAAAAGTGGAGTCAATGGTTTTCCATCTCCTCAAGCAGTTTAATTATTTCAATAGTAAAATAAATTACGCACAATGTACAGAAGATTTAAGGAAAAAGAAAGAAAAAAATTTAAATTTTTATGATAGAAAAGTAGTGATTAGAAAATGCANCTGAGAGTGTTAGAAATAAAATTATAATATTTTTTATTGGCATTTTTTAGTATACGCCTAAAGAAACGAGTTAATATGAAACTTCTTTAAAATGATATACTAAAAAATTAGTTTCTTTATTCCAACATATATATATATTTCAGTATTTAGAATAAATAATTTTTTCAACTATGTTTAATTAAATAAATCCATCAGGTTTAAGCAATAGTTGCTTATAAACATTAAGCACCACTAATTTAAAAAATGTTAATATAGTAAATAACAAAGAAAAGCTAAAATTTATTTTAGTATATAATATACTTTTTCAAATTTTTTAGTAAATTCCTGCTTTATATAATTTATTAAAAAATCATTTCGGAGAAAATTAGATTTAAGAGTCATTAAATAAGCTTGCAACTTCACAAATACGTATAGGCCTATACATTCTGTATATGATAAATGAACCAATATCACTTAGAAAATGAATTAATATGAAACTTTTAAAAAGTGTAGACACTACAGACTAGTGACAACAAACCTTATTCTGAAGATGGGTCAAAATTGAATTCGAAATTGAATAACTCCAAATCGCGGGTTAAATATTTCATTTGAGTAAAAAAAAAAAAAACAAATGGCGAAAAATGTTTACAAATTTTAGTTTTTGATTTAATGTAGGCCTATATCAGAAAAATAACAATAAACTGTATATAAGTGAAAAATAATAATAATGTGATTATAACGGAAACAAATATTTCGTTTAGTGGGAAATCTGCTTGTTGTCTATTTCATATGTTTTTTATCTGTAGTTCATAATTAGTGGCCTTTAAGATTTTTCACGACAGCTCTCTTTCACACTACATATGCAAAGTTTTAAAATATATTTTTTATATTTATAAAAATCTAATACTTTATGAGTAATCAATGCTGGCACCTTAAAATCATTACGCGGATTGCATCGTTGCTATAGAATCATGCATTGAAAATTGTTGAACTTTGGGACCGGAGCCAGAGTTCCAATTTTTTGCTGTTGCAGGATCCTGAAGCATTTCGTCCATAGGGTGAAAAGTAAAAGAAAAAAAAATCAATCCATTCTTACGTATGAATCGAGACTTTTAAATTTTTATTTCTATTAATGTCTAATAGAATTTCAATAATTTTATAGGAAGTGCATCAAAGTTGGACCCTCAAATATAATTGAAATTTTTACGAAGAAAAAAAATAAGACAAATCATATTATGCTAAAATTTGCTCTATTTAAACATATTTATGCATTGAAGAATGAAAATGTTTATTTGCAAAATCCACAAGTATGTTCACCTGTCTCTGCTCCTGAACATTTTACATGAGCTCAAATCAGTACACTGTACTGATGACTACGTTCCGTCCAAAACATGCAGAAAGCTTCATTTTCAGTGTTAAATAAGAGTACCTTATTAAAGTACTCTTTGGGTCTCGAAATACTGTTTTTTTCCCTATTCCATCTTTTCTCTCTTAGTTTATATGGCTTTAGCCATGGATTCTGAGGCCACGCTAGTTTCTTATTTTTTCTTCTTTTATCATTCGTCATTATATTCAATCTAAATATATAAGGGACCCAATTAGTTGAACTCAAAATAATGTTTAAAAAGTAGGGATCCTATGTACGACTTAAGAAAAGGGGATGCTTTGAAACTACGTACTGTACCATTGTCAATTACTGTGTCAGGAACGATTAACAAAGCACGTAATTGGTTAATTTTATTTTATTACTACATGTTAGTCATGAGAAACGAACTCTTACCTGTTTAGAAACCAAATAATGATGCCACAGTGTCGATCAGATGTCGAAGTGATGATGCCACTTTTCACAGACGAGAAACCAGAACTGAACAGTAACGATTCCACAGGTTGACGACAGAATTGTGAAGTATATATTCCTCTTAACGTTAGCCACCCTTCTGTAGCGAAATAAGCCGGGAGTCTTACTTAGGAATAGGGGTCCGACTTTGGTGCTTTTCTTCTATATAGGCTAAGTACTGTACTCGATTCATTTAATATCTCTGTCAAATGCTTTGTCATAAATTATAAAAAGAAAATTATTGGATAATCAGTCTTCTTTTAGAAAATATTTTTTCAAACCAGCAAAAATATTTTAATCTCAAGTACATTTTATTTGTTTAGTATGTATTATATGATTATAATTTAGATAAGGATCCTTAAAGTAAATAAAAATTACTGAGGTTTTTCTTTAGTTTTTAACTCATCATGTTCTGCGACTGAGAGCATTTTCTCCATACAGTGCATGTATTCGATCAGGTCCACTATGGAGATAATCGAATGATGATCGACAGAGCCCACCTATCCGAGTCAGACCGCGCATAAAAGATTTCTGAGATGTCTGATCCGGATTGGACCTGTATATATATACATATATATATGGAATATATACAGTGTATATATAATATCCTAGAATTAATAAAATTATGTTATACAACAGATCAATATTTTGTTCATTCTTGCATAATATGTTAACTATCTTTCTAGTATCCGAGTATGAGGCTGAAATCATGTATTATCATATGGCCAAAAGATGTATTTCTATCGTTTTACATGAATAAATAAACAGAAGTTTAAAATGTCTTTAATAATATATTTTTGTTTTACTTTTAAGATAAAAAAAAATATGTATTTAAAACGGATTTAAGAAAACGGATAATGATTTTAAAAACGGTACGTTGATTGAAAATTAACTGAAGCTGTAGGCATAATCGAGATTAATTCTCATTACGACAGAATCACGCGACGGTTTACTGACAAGAGAATTGAATGCGCCATTTCCGTTACAAATAATACTTTGTTGAATGTTTGTTTTACTGTGAGTCTTATGGGAAGAATGGACAATTTGCTGGTATATGTTAGGCCTACCTGTAGATTTTATTGTTATTATCGTTCACTTTTATTATATTTGTTAGATTTATATCTTTTTACAAGGAATTTTTTGAAATAAAACGATCATTTCTTATTAATTCTATTAGCATTTTCTAATCGAAAAAAATTCTTATACGTAACTGCATCGAAAGCCATCCACGTTGAATTTGTTGTCCGACGACGTCAACGTAAATGGTGTTTTTGCTTTGATCAATACTTATTTTTTCTGCCCGCCATCTCTTTTAAAGTTCAGCTGGATTCGACTCATAAATATTCTCCTTTNACTTTCTAATAAAACTAACATTATGATATAATACTATATAATATAAACAATAATACAGGAATAAAATGGTTGAAAACAGTAGTTGGTTTATCAAAATATTGTATTATTTTGTGTTTTGTATTTAAAGCAATAAAAATTGACAGTTTGATGTATTGTAATTAATAAATTAAGGCAAATTTTGTCACTCTGATAATAGCTTATTCGGCTGAAATTTGAAATTTGCTGGAATTTTTTTTTTTGAGACATTTTTTTACTTCTGGAAATAAGCCAAAGTTCACAGGGAGCAAGATCTGGACTATATGGAGGGTGATCCAAAACAGTTAGCCCAGACTTGGTCAAATAGGTGACTGTATCCTTTGACACATGTGCTGGAGCATTATTATGGTATAGGAGCCATGTGTTGAGCCAGAATCTTAGTCAGATGTTCCTCAGTTGTTGAATGATTGATTGACTTTTGGCAAATATGTTTGGGTGTACCAAGAACTAGTGACTATATGATGTTTTTTTAGTATGGCACTCTCTATAATACTGCATTTTGCAAAAAATGCAGCAATCATTCATTTTTTTGTTGAACATGATTTTTGGACTTCTACTGGGTTGCTTCATCTTCAAAGAGCCAAACTTTGCTCTGAGATTTTGTTGGCTCATCATAATAATACAGCCAGGTCTCGTCACCTGTTATAATGCTGCTAACATCCTTGGATGTCTCTTACTCAAACTATTTAATAATTTTTTATACATTAAATTTTCACGTGTCTTTTATTCCCGAATTATGTTAGTTGAATCTTAAAGATTCCTTAGTTTTTTTAATCATTACCATTGAATATAAACTATGACAGTAGTAGTTTTATCACTATTGTTTAATGTTGTATATAATGGGGATTTGCAAAAGTAGGTATACAGTTATTGTTGTGGATAAAAACAGAAGAAAAAACATTTTCATGTATACCTTAAATCACAAATAACAATAGGACAAAATAATAAAAGATAAAAGTAATAATAATGAACATTAAACATCTGTATTTCTCAATTGTATACCTACTTTGTATTCCCCTGTACACTATGAATATTGATTTTATTCTTGTCGTACAAATATGCTTAAAAATGTGGCTTTATGACCGATATCAAAGAATTTAAGTAAGCAAGATGCAATAAACAATTTTATTTTAGTGAATTAATAATAGTGAACAACAAGAAAAACTAAAATTAATTATTAATCTCAGATGTATATATTACATAATTTTGATTTTACAACAGTTTAATTAAGAGAATTTTGAAATTGACTTATTAGGTAGATAGAGCTAGAATTCAATAAATTCAATCAAATTTTATTAGTTAATGTGTATTAATAGCACTATTACAGACATTTATTTAGGCTTCAGTTACAATATTTTTATATATATATAATTTGTCATTACACGTCTAATCATTATTGTAAAATTTGTTTTGTATCTCTTAGATATACAGATGACATTGATCTTTATATAAAATCCTTAAATATTTGGCTCAAATCGTGGAATTAGAGATGAAACCAATTTTTAAAAATTTAGTTTTAGCTCAAATTTATTTTTAGATCTTCTTTCGGGAGAAATAGATCAAAATTACACTTTTAGAAAAAATAAAATGAATCTTTCTCACAGACAAAATGATTTATTCTTCTACCTAAATTTACAAGTTAATAACACAAATCCGACATTTTTTGAAAATGAAAATTATTATATATTTAACAAATATATAAGAATATAATCTAAAATAAAAATAAACATTAGTATATACAGTAGACCCCCCTATAACACTGTTGATAATTCCGTGTTATATGAATTT